TAAATCTACTAAAATAAAAATATATATATATTCTAAATTAAAAAATAAAAACATAAATATAAAGCTACAATCATACTAAATAAATAAAATTGTACCTAATGGTAATTACACAGAACAGTCTTGCGTAAGATAAGGTAACTAATAACTCTAAGAAGTTGCAGGTGTCACGTTTTAGTAAATCCCAGCCCAAAATGCTCGAAGCGCGGTGTGGGTGGTTTTCTCAAAATGTTTTTAAGATGATTTATTTAAAAATTTATTTTTTAATTAATATTTTAAAAATTAATTGTTATATAAAAAATTGTATTTATTTAAATTATAAATATTAATTTTTATATTAATTTAAAATATTTAATCAATTTATTAATTATATAAAATTTAATGTTATTAAATATATATTAATAAATAAAATTTTTAATTAAAAAATTATAAATATTAAATTAATATAAAACTTAATATGCAAAATTTATATAAATAAAATTTTTAATTTAATAAACAAATTTTAAAATATTTTACAATATTATTGATCTTTTAATTTTTAAACTTAACCATTAAAATCTTAAACCATCTGAGATTGGTTGAGTCTAACTTTTGGTAAAAAAACCTAGAAGTTATTCGAATGCAACCTTTCGATTTATAATTTCGATCGGTCCCAAATATTTTCGGTTGCAAAGTTCGTTGCATCCTCCTAAAAACAGTACATTAATTGCTGGCTAATAAATGGTTTAAAGCCAATTGTCATCCCTCTACTTTAACATTTTATTCGTTCTTGTCCCTCTACTAAGAACATGTTCGTTGTCTCCCTTTACTCTACTAAAGAGCCAAAACGTCATCCTTCTACTCCGTTTTTTTTGTTCGTTGTCATCCCTCCCTTAACACCGTTCATCTTGCCATCACTGCTGACCGTTAAGTTCTAAACGGTCAACAGTTAAACCCATGTTTTTTTTTTTTTTTTTCCACATGTGCTGCCATGTGCAAGAATTGGAATCACTTTGCCTACTTTGCCTCTCTGCTTACTCAGACCCCATACTTT